TGAAGCCCACGCTGGGCCTCACTTCCTCCTGAGGGCATGGTGCCGCCCATCCCTTTCACAAGTTGTATTATGTGTGAAGGTCAGCTGTGTGCCACTGGTTTCCCCACTGATGTGGGTATTCAGACCGGTGAGTGTCCCCACCCTCCCTCAGCTTTGCCCTCCACCCTTAATATGTATCCTCCCTGCAGTATTGCCCAACTTAAAACTGGTTGTCACTCTGTTGGATCTGGAAACTTTTAGCAGAGGGCAAAATTGGCTGATAGGGAAAGGTTGCTTCCTATAATCCATAGAACACGAAAATAAAACCAACCCTCTCTTTATAATGAGTAGCCGTGTGTGGCTGTTTCTGCTGGAAATGCTATTTAGGGGCACAGCATGATGGCACATGGCTAAGTCATCTCCCCATGTTGGGCTCTCTGATTCACCTGCCTTATGACCAAAGGCGGGATTTTCAAGATAGCTGATGGATCCTGGGGCTATGACACATGGCCATAACCGTTAACCTAACTGGCTCCCATGAGAACCAAAGCCATGACCAAGGTTCTCCGAAACTGTTCTAAAGCTGAAGGTTGATGACGGTGCTGTTTGAGCAACAGAAGACTGTATATACTGGAAGAGTTACACTTGCAACACCATTCATTTAGGCAATTTAACTTCGGTTGACCTCACTTCCTATTTCACTGAGCACTTCCACATACCGTCCCACCATGGTTAGCTCCCTACCCTGCATCTATCCTGGTCTAGTTTTCTCCCTGCCTATTCCGGGGAATCCGTCGTTCTAAGGCCAACCCCTACACTTGTATATGAGGCTGCGTTCCTTACTGCCTCTGCAGGAACGTCTGTTCTTCAGTCTCCCTCTGCACCATACAGTCTCTACTGGATCTCTCCCATTAGCACACGAAGTCGCTGTCATTTCTCTTAAGGAAGCAAGGTTTGGCAGTGGTGAGACTAGGGAGTAGGAGACCAGTTAGGAGCCTGCTGTAATAGACAGTAAATATTTGTTGACTTATACTTGGGTCAACTAATATTTCTGTATCTATCCATTGGTATATATATTTAAAACCATGAGTTCACACTGACACGACAGAGTTCAGTCCAACCTTCTCTCTTTCCTTATTGTTTTTCCCATAGGGAGAAACCTCTCATTATCCACAGTATATTTGTCCAATTCTAGAATACAGATACAGTAGTTTCACAGTTGCTAATTTATAATCCTATGAAAAATACATGTACCGACTAGAGTGCAATATCTGTATAAAGCTATTTTTGTCTAGCCTTACATATTGTCAAAATACTACTTCCCAAAGCTACTTAAGTCTTCTTCTCCACCCACGTCGTTGTGGTTATGCTACTCATTTCCAATACAGTTTGTCTTTGCTTGTATTCTATTTTTGTTTTCCTCCACACCCTGTTTGTATGTAAAACATTACCATGGCTCTGAGAGTCAGATATACAAAAATTACCATCAGAAATGACACTTTTCCCTCATCACTGCTACTCCATGCCCGTTTTCTCATTCTTTCGACCCTTTTCTCACCTATTCCCTATGGGTACCCAAACTTAGTTTCTGGTTTATGCCTACTGCATTTTTTTTTCCAGAAATGAACAGAAATATGTGTATTTTCTTTTATGCCCTTATTTTATGGAGATAAAATTCACACTGAATTGAGTTAAAATGTACAATTCAGTGTTTTTTAGTATATTCACAGTGTTGTGCAACTATTGCCTCAATCTAATTTTGGGACATTTTCATCATTCCAAAAAAGCAGTTGTGTACTCTATTCACCTTTGTCCCCACCCCCAGACAACCAGTAATCTACTTTCTGCATCCATGGATTTGTCTGTCCTGGACATTTCACATAAATGGGAT